TAATAACCGTTCTATTAGCTCTAGGGTATACTAATAAGGCTAGGTAGATCCGCTATAGATCTAGGTTATAGGTTTAGGCGGTATAGGAAAGGATTTCTAGGAGCTATATATAGCTCGTTTTTCCTTTATGTTTATACACCTATAGCACCTACGTAGCGGCTCGTACGTAGATACACTTAGTATAGTTAGATAGAGCTTATTAGAGGCTTTCTAGCAATATAGGTTTCGGCCGTTTTAAGGCGCTACTATACTAGTTAGTACTAGCTTATTTATAAAGAAAGTCTTTCCTAATACCTTATATAGTACTACTATAATAATCTATATATAAGTATACCTAGTATAAGTAAATAGAGCTTTTTAAGAGCTATCTAGCGATAGTACTTTTAGGTGTTTTAGTATAGTATTGCACTAGTTAGTACAGACCTATATACGAAGAAAGTCTTTTTGCTAATTGAATACATTTGCATGTAGGGTGGGAATTGTTGGTTGGGTGGGGTGGGTGCATTGACCGCATTGGGAAAACTTGCTAAAATTTTGTTTCCGGTGAGTGTAAGCTCGAGACCCCCGTACTACACATGTACATACTACTGGTAGCTGCAGGAACACAGCAACCCCTCCATTTCCATGTCCTCTAGGTGTCGCCCTCGCCCGCTTCTTGAGAGTCTATCGCCTCTTGCTCGCAAAACGTCATCGAACTTGACTTTGCAAATCCACAAGACAAGAAACTACTCGCGACAGCCGCACAGAGGACCATCAAGAGCAGTGCAGCCCGTGTTAGCAACTCCCGCATCATTCAGGACATTCGCAGCCATGGTGACAAGAACAGGACCTCTGCACCGCCTCATCTGCTTCTGCTAACCCGCCGACAGGCTACCAACGACACCCCGGCCAGCGCCTCCGGCAGCATCACAGAGTGGGTCAAGCTCAGCGACAAATCGGGCGAGTTCAAGCGCCAGCAGAGCTCATTCCGCAACTTCATCTCGAGCGAGGCTGGTGCGCAGTACCCGCCCGAAAAGGGCAGGTATCACTTGTATGTGAGCTATGCGTGTCCGTGGGTAAGTGCCGTCCCGGTCTGGCATTGCGATGGCCTGCCATGCTCACGGCTGACCGCGCCGACAGGCCAACCGCACCCTCATCGCGCGCAAGCTCAAGGGGCTGGAGGACATCATCTCCTTCTCGGCCGTGCACTGGCACATGGGCCCCAAGGGTGAGCTGCAGCCCGGCGCCGCCCAACAGAAGCGGCATCGCATTTCTAACTCGAACCCCCAGGCTGGCGCTTCCCCACCGCCGAAGACTCCGACGCCGAGGGCGAGAATGTCGTCCCGGACCCCGTGCCGGGCCACGAGAGCTTCACCCACCTCCGGGACATGTACTTTTTCGTGAATTCGTCGTACGAGGGGCGCTTCACGGTGCCCGTGCTGTTCGACAAGAAGACGCAGACGATTGTCAACAACGAGAGCAGCGAGATCTTGCGGATGCTCAACACCGAGGTAGGCGCCCCTCATCAGATCCCGTCCCGGACCAGCCGACTGACCCTTGCTGCAAGTTCCAAGACCTGATCTCGGAGCCGCACCGCCAGGTCGATCTCTACCCGGCGCATCTCCGTGCGCAGATCGACGAGGCGAATGAGTGGCACTACGACAAGATCAACAACGGCGTCTACAAGGCCGGCTTCGCCACGACCCAGGAGGCCTACGACCGCCATGTCGTTGCCCTGTTTGACGCCCTGGACCGCGCCGAGGAGCATCTGCAAAAGTCGGCGAGCGACGGGCCGTACTGGCTGGGCCAGACGCTGACAGAGGTCGATATCCGCCTGTCAGTCCCCCGCTTTCCCGTTTCCGTCTCCATCAATCCCAAGCGTTACTAACCACGCCCTTCCGCCAACAGATTCGTAACAATCATCCGCTTCGACGTACGTGTCCCCCTCCACCCCTCTCTCTCAACCAACCCCCCCCCCCCCCCCCCCCCCCCCCCCAAAAAAAAAAAAAAAAAAAACCCCCCCCCCCCCCCCCCCCACAGCCCGTCTACGTCCAGCACTTCAAATGCAACATCCGCGACATCCGCTCCGGCTATCCCGCCCTGCACCGCTGGATGCGCCACCTCTACTGGACGGTCCCCGCCTTCCGCGACACGACCAACTTCGCCCACGTCAAGAACCACTACACCAAGTCCCACACCCAGATCAACCCCTTCTCCATTGCCCCGCTGGGGCCGGTGCCGGACATCTTGGGGCTGGCCGACGAGGTGCGGGCTGTGGGGGCGTGACGTGGCGACTTGGTGGGCAAGTGAGGTGAGTTTGTTGAGTGTGTGTGTGTGTGTGTGTGTGTGTGGGAAAAAAGGGGGGGGAGGGGGGGTTGTTTTGTATGTATGACTTGTAGCAAGGAGACCTCGGGGGGGTTGGAGTGGCGTGCGGCGGCGTGTCCATAGTGCAGCGGTACCGCCACTGTCTCTATCAAATCATCAGGCAACTTGGCCGAGCGGTCTAAGGCGCCACGTTAAGGTGTCAAACCCTTAATCAACAATCCGTGGTCCGAAAGGGCGTGAGTTCGAATCTCACAGTTGTCATTCCTTTTGCTCTCCTGTCCGAGTCGAGTGTTTTGGTCTCCATTTTTCTTTTTGTCCTTGGGTGTGTGTGTGGTGGGAGTGGACCCTGTTCTGGCCTTTTGCGGTTATGTACATGTACACATGCATGTGCGTATGTAGCAGAGAATAACATGTGAAGAACGTATCTACCTACCACCTTGGAAGACGCAAGGAATACCTCCAAACACAAGGAACCAGGCGAGTATGTAAGCACATCCCTCGCCAGTCCTCCCAAGCAGGCGACAGCCTCTCTGTCCCTCACAAAACCGGAGCCCAGACGGAGGAGGCTGGAAGCGCGAGGCCGTGCTGGGCAGAGAGCCCCCAGTCACCAAGTCAAGACCGTCCCAACACCACCGAACCTCAATTCCAACTACAACATCGCTGCCGCAGTCTGGTCTCCCCGATTAACATGTATACAGAAACCGCCACGGGACAGCGCAATAACCAATACACAGTAGTTCCCCCTCTTGGCCAGCCCAACAGACAAAAAAACAGAGAGATGATGATGGATAGGTAATGATGATAGGCTCAATGACAAAACAACAGCCAATGATAACAATAAGGAAAGCCAGCAACCCCAGTCCGCACTTTCTCTTTTCCAGATGCCCAAGTCGCACAGTCACCCGTCCAGAGCAATGCAGCCATGAAAGTACCAGTTCGCGTTCGTAGCAGCTCCGCACCCGAGCCTATCCCGCACGTCACACAGCCTACAACTGCCCCGACAGGATCGCCTCGGTCGCTGTTCCAGACGACGTCAGTCGCAACACTCTCAAAACACTGCTGGGGCGTCACACAGAGGGGGGGGGGGGGGGGTACTCACCACTATTGATATAAGCCCGCCTCGGGTCCAGCAGCACACCAAACCGCCTCTCCAGCTCCTGCTTCACGCCCTTCTTCGTGACCGTCATCAAGTCCGCCGTCCTGAGAATCTCCCGGATCTCCGCCAGCAGCGCGTCATCGCTGGGCATGCCCGCCAGATTCGACATCTCGACCTCCGGCTGCGACGGCGAAGGGCCGCGGAACTGCGACCCGCCAAACTGGCTGGCCCGGGCGCCCGGCGTCATGAGCATGTCCGACGCGGCAAGCGACATGCGGCTGCCGGCGTTGGGCATCATCGCGTAGCCGCCGGCAGTAGAGCCCGGCCGGCTCGGCGTGTAGGCGCCGTAGTCCGACTGGGCAATGTTGGGCCGCGTGGCGTACGAGTAGCCCGAGACCTCCGAGTGGGCATCGTCGCGCGCCGTCTGCGCCTCCCAGAGCTCGGCCTGGTACTCCTCCCACTTTTTGCGGGGGATCGAGGCCGGGTCGAACTTGCCCTCGTCCGAGATGACAACCTTCTTGCCCTGTTCGCCGGCGATGACGCGCGTGTTGCCCCAGTTGAAGTCGTCCATGTGCCAGAACGAGTAGAGCGGGAGGGCGAAGCTGAAGACGGGGATGGCGAGTATGTACAGGATCATCCAGCCAATCATCTCCCACTTGCGGCGCATGATGAAGATGATGGCCTGTAGGCCGTAGATGGCGGCGAGGAGCACGAACGCCATGACGGGAATGACGGTCGTCTTCTGCACCACCATGACGATGAGGTAGACAATGTAGGCGAGCGTGAGGGGCTGGACGACGGTGGAGAGAAGGTCGATGAAGACGATGAAGCGCATGCTGAAGCAGCAGAAGCCGCACAGCTGGCTCATCGGGATGAGCTCCATCAGATTGTGCACGGTTGAGTTGATCCAGCGGCGGCGCTGCGAGAGGAACACGGCCCACGAGTCGGGCGCAATCGTCCACGCGTGCGCGCGGAAGATGTACTTGGTCTTGTACCGTGAGTGATACTTGAGAAGCAGCGTCGTCAGGAAGCGATCTTCGCCCAGGTGCAGCAGGTTTTTCATGTGCAGCGTGTCGACGCGGATGGTCGAGTATCCCTCGACAATCTCGCGGCTGACAAACAGCGGCTTGCCCGTCTCGGCCGCGCGGATGCGGTACATGGAGAAGCAGCCGGGCAAGCACGTCACGGACCCGAACAGCGACTCGAAGGCCTTGGACAGGTTGTGCGAGATGTAGTACTCGTACACCTGAATCATGGTCACGAACGACGACTTGGCGTTGGTCAGCGCCGTCTCGCCGCAACAGGCGATCAGGCGCGTATCGTCGAGGAAGGCCGACACCATGCGCGTGGCCGAATCGGGCGCCACGACTGTGTCGGCGTCGATCTGCAGCAGATACTCGTAGAAGGTGGGGTTGACACCGATGATGTTGCGGATCTGGTGGTAGATCTCGAGTTCCAGCGGGCTCATGGGCAGGTTGTAGTGCACGCGGTTGAGGAAGCGCATGATGATCATCTGCGAGTCACGCTTGCCACGGTTGCCCGGCCGAGACACCTCGGACGGCTTGCCGACCTTGACCACGACGAGGAAGGGCACGATGTGGCCTTGCACTTCGTATAGACCAGAGTAGACCTTGCCCATGTTGTGCTGCTTGAGACCCTCGCCGAGCGACTCGAAGCTCAGCGGTTCCGGGTCGACCGCCTCGGACACGCCCAGGATGTCGAGCACGATGCGTGGTGTGGGTCGGTCGTTGCCTTGACCAATGATCATACCGTCACAGACAATGACCAGGAGCTTGCGCTTGTCGTCGTAGCGCATGCGCGCCGCCGAGTCAATGGCACGCCGAATCGAATCTTCGTCCTCGGTGTAGGCTGGGATCTGGCACATGACGAACTTGTCTATGCTCTCGGGCATGGTCTTGGTGCCGAATTGGAGCGCCGCAAAGAACTTGAAGCCGATGACACTGGCAAGAAGAATGGAGACGGCCAGTACCAAGTACTCGGCAAACTTGCACCGCGCGGACGAGCGCGTGTCCACGTCGGCGATGTAAAAGAGATTGTCGAGGCACAGCTGCATCGCCTTTTTCTGGTCCGCGTCGATACCCAGCGACTGCCACAGTGTCGTCACGTCGTCACCCGACCGTTGCTGGAACAGGTCGATGACTAGCGGGTGCATAAAATCGATATCGTCTGCGTTCAACGTCGAATCGTCCCCTGACGGATTCTTCTGCCCCCGTCCGCCGGTGATGTAGTTCGACAGGTCGTAGACGCGGTTGTTGAGGATGCCGACGGTCCGCTGCTTCGTGCTGAGCGTGCGTATATATTCAGCCGAGTAACCGATGTTGCCGACTTTGTAGTTGGCCCGCAACATCTTCATCTGCTGCGAGAACCAGTCGGGCCGGGGGTCGTTGGTGAAGGAGCGGAAGTCATGGTAATGCGCATTTTTATCAGTGCTGCTGATAACGAGCGTCGAGCCTGTGATGTTGGGATTATTGTAATCGAGCAGCACGCTCTGCGCGATGGTGCCGTGCAGACCCTGGCACAGCGCCGACACTTGCACAGGGAAGAGCGTCGTGATGTCCATGCCGCCGTACTGGAGAATCGACTTCGCTGGTAGGTACGGAGGGTAGTGGCGGGTCTGGAACTTGCCGATATCAAAGACCTGCCCGCGGATCGAGGCATAGGCGCCGTTGCCGTCCTTTCCGTCGTACTTGGAGATCTCGTCTGGGCTGTAGACGTATTGCTTCGGACAGATCAGCATCGGGAAGACAATCATGAAGAATGCAGCCACACAGCAGCTGAACCAGATGATCATGTTGATGGCCAGCTTCTCGCGCCAGGCCATCCGCACGTCCTTGCGCGGCATGCGACCCAGCAGCCGGATCAGAAAGTCGGGGATGAAGAAGGTCAGCAAGTACACCAAGAAGACCCAGCGCTTGCGGCTGGGGCTGTCCTTGTACTCCTCCACTTCTTGCATGTCCTTTTCGTTGCCACGCTCCGCCATCTGCTCGCGCGTGTCCAGGTTCTTGAACATGTCACCGCCCCCGAACGCCGACGCGCCGGCCTCGGAGCGCGCATCCACGTCGTGGCTGCCAAAGTAGCCGGCTCCCTTCTTCTCGCCCGTGAGGCTGGCCGGCGTGACGCCCCCGGATAGGAGCAGGCGCTCCTTGGATGCACCGAACGGGTCCGCGGGCGTGGTCATGCCGGTACCAGCGTCTGACGGGAGCCCGTAGCGGCCCGACTGCGAGAAGTTCTCGCCGAGCTGGGCGATTTCCATCCAGCACCGCTCACTCAGGAACACCCCCGTCGAGCCGATGGCCACCTCGTTGTTCGGCCACCGCTTATCGTCCACCACCATCTCGACCTTCTCGCGTTCACTGCCCACAAGCACCGTCTCGGCATCGGCCAGTCCCAGGAACTCGCCAAACGGCAGGAACAAGCTGAAGTCGGCCGACCGCAACCGCTGGCTGATCTCGGCGATGCCGAACGTCTGCACCTGCGCTCGCACGCATTTGCTGTCGAACTGGTTGGCGATGCGCCGGTCATTGGGCTTCAGGCAGAAGACAAAGTAGCAGTTTGTGCCCGGCGCCGCAACCGACCGCGTGACATTCTCAAGCGCCGCGAGGAACTGGCCGGACGCGCCCTGCTCCGAAGTGCGGGCACTGCCTGTCCGTTTGCCATCTCCAGCCTCGCTGCCGTGGTTCGCCGCCATCTCTCTCTCGGCCGCTCGGGCACGGGCGGCAGCGAGGGCCGCCGAGGGCCGCCCGCGCTTTGACATGATGCTGGGCGCGCGCATCGGCTTGGAGCTGACCGAGGCCTGCATGACAGTCGTCCGCTCCTGTGGGTGGACCACGGTATGCAACACCTCCTGGCCAAATAGACGGGCAACGAAGGTGCTCTTGCTCGAGTTGATCAGGTTCATCAAGTCGCCCGAGATGACCTCGCCGTTCTCCTCGACCAGCCCCTTGACGGGGTACTCAACCTCGCCGGCAAAGTGTTTGATGGCGAAGGTAGCAGCCGTGTTTTCGGTAAAGAAGTTACTGCCCGGCAGCTTGGCTGTCGCCGAGCTGACAGTGATGGCCGGGTTCTTGCCGTCGAAGCGCTTTCGCAGACTCTCGAGCAACTGCATATCCGTGCGGTGACGGCGCGTTTGGTCGTCTAGGATGCC